ATTACCAGACCCTTGATCTATCTAAACAGTCTTTCACCTCATGGAATCTGTTTCAAATTTAGTCACTCATGTTATGGATTATACTCCAACTAAAGCAATTTTTAAGGGCGAGGGTAGGGTAAAAGAGGAGGGAGAGATCATTGTTGTGGCCACACAAAATAGAGAATGCTGCAATTGTGCATGCACATTGGGTAACTCAGAGTAGGAAGTTTCATAAAAAAATATTTCCTTATATTTAATTTGTTAGAGATAAAGGAGAGGTCTTGATTTTTGGTACAACAGGACCCTTGGTATAAACTCCCATTGTGTCAAACTGTTGGATGCTTTTTATCCAGGAGACATGCAATTGTTTAATCTTTTGAAGATTTTTTAATTTTATTTTTTAAATACCAAAGCTTCATATGTGCATAGGCAAAACAGTACTCTTCAGGAGTAGTAAATGATAAACACATTTATTCCTCTGGAGCACCTGGCTATTACTTTCTCTTATTAGTGTTGGCAAACCTCCAGAAGTTGTTTATAAAAATATTAAAAGTGCTTAATTCCCTAAACAGCTAAATCAATTAAAATATTTTTTGAAAGTTGTCCCTACAGCTAACTCTGACTTTGGAAATTTCGGGGGGGAGGGGGGAAGGATTTACATTACAAACCACATAAGTGAACGATATTTCTGTTTCTGATAATTATAACCACGCTAGTAGGTACCACTGTAATTAACATACAATTAGGGCATTTCTTCTTAATGCAAAATGTTCAATCTGAAAACCGACAAAAATTCTACAAAACAAGTTTATATTTTGAACTGCAGCTATAACATTATAGCATCTCACTTCCCCTGAGGTCATAAATTCAATAAGTTTTTACACTTAATATGAACTACTGTCTTTACTTCCCCACAAAAAGGATCTAAACTTATTCAACTACGGGAAATTCTGGTAGCTGCCCCCAGCCCTCCACGCACACACCCCCACTCCAGAACACACAGACTGCAACATTTATTTTGTTCACTCAACTGACATCTTACTGCAATAGTATTCAAGCCTTCATTTCTACTGAACTGTCTTCTGTTGCTAGTCATGTTGCCTTATATATCAATTTCTGCATTAAATAGGCTGAGGCATACATTCCTCACCTCACAAAACTGGGTTATTCTTACATTCAACAAGCCATAGGGCTTTATACCTATTTTCTAAAACACTTGTTTGAACTCTAAAAACATGCACCTTAATGACATAGTATTTTCCTTTTCTCACTTTAAGTTTAACTAGCACATTTCCAAGATTATTCTAGTGTACCAAACAAACAAACAAAAAAAAGTACATTTATTCAGTGTTTTGGGATGGGGTGGGGGTTTTTTTTGGCGGGGGGGGTAATTTGATGGAGGTATACAAAACTCAAAAAGTTCTCAGCCATGCAATTTCAATATTGATCATGTAGAAATACTGGTAGCATTTTTAAAAACACAGTTTTCCTACCAAAGTTATTTTTATGGCATGTTAAATCTTAAATCTAAACATAAAAAAAAGCTATCTTGTTTTAGAAATATAAATAGCATTTTGAACATCCGAGAAAGGAGGGTGGGTGGAGAAGAGGATGACGGGAGGAAGAAATGGAGCATGCCATTTTCATTCATACACTAGTGATGTCAGTGTCTGCAGCAGCAGCAGTTGCCTTGACCCCTAAAAGGCTCAAACCCAAAGTAGTTTTACAGAATATGGTTAAAAAAAAAAAAAGTAAATCTCAGGAAACCCACTCATAATACTGGAATATTTCACACAAGATGGTTTAGAGGAGGGATCAAATTCAAGGCATCTATACTGAAAGGAACTGAGAAAAACACCAGGTGTTTTAGGTAGAGAAAAACGTCTTTTCTGTCAAAAGCATAGCCAGTCTCCCACACCAGCATGCTCCTGAAACAATACAAGACAGTCTGCACAGCCAGAACCAAAACGGTCTCTGCATTGCAAAAAATAGGATTATGCCAACAGTGGGAACTTTCAGTTTACATCAAAAGGGGAAATGCTTTAAGAGTATGACACAAAGTGTAATAGTTTCATTAAGACTTATGTCATACTCAGGCATGATTAAGAGGCTAACAATAGCCAAAGGAGTAAACTGTGCAATCATCTGTAGTAAGATGGTCCATGTTTGATGACAAGAAGTGTTTCAAGCCCTCCACTATGACTCTAGTAGTATTCCAACACCGTTCTATAGTCTCTGTACAGACACTACCATACAAGCTACAACTGATTTTTACTTCATGTACATTATGTACTAAAGATCCAGAACAGAGTAGATCAAAGAAATGAGGAGGCAAACTCATGCCATTGGGTACCTCATCCATGCTCCAAATTTTGTAAATATGTTTTTTTTTGTTTTACCTTTTAATTCGCAAAACTATAAAAACAGTTTTATCACCCTAGTCTTCTAGAAAATGGTGCCTGTATTTCTGTAAAATAAAGCTGTTGACGTGTGCAATAGTGGTCATTATTAGGGCGATCACGTTGTTTTCATTCATTCATTCAGGATTTGCTGTAGGATGTCAAGTTTCTGCAACAGCAGCTGGCTCGACCTGAAGGAGGGGGGACAAATTCCTTGGGGATTATGGACAGATATCTCAATGGACCACTTATAATTTTATATAGTACACACACAAAACAGTATCAAATTTTATCTGCTGCTAAGAGTTTACCATAAGGCAGGCTCAAGCAAGTTTAATGATAGAGAAGTCATTCAGTACTAATTTATAGGTTTGAACTATTAAGACAAAGACAACAACTTACAGTTCCAAACACGCATGTCACTTTGTAAAATTAAAATTTTACTCAACCAAAAATGTATTTATTAAAAAAACCCACATGAATACACTAATGAAATACTTAACAGCTCTGCAGTACTTCTCTCCAACCACAAGTAATTACCCACATCCCACTCTTCATTTGAAGTGCAGACCCTCACTCACTGCAACATTACAATGTTTATCACGAAGTTAGACCTGGGAACCGATTTATAATAATATTTGTCATCAGCTTTAATGTTCACACTTAATTATATGCATCAAGTCTGTTTTGTTTTGGCTGACCTCCTATTTGATTTCCCAGAATTCAGAGTAACATTGTACACTTGTATGTCTCTAAAGGGAAAAAAAGGAAGCTCAGTAAGAAAAAAAAAATACAAATTCCTAGAGTTAAGGGAACAAATGAACCTCAATCTTTTAAATACAACTTGACTGAAGCAAAATTGCCAAGGACTGTTTCCATTTGAAAGCATGCAAAACCCTGTAACCCTACAAATCTCTTCCCAAATAAAGATAATAGATCTATTGCATAATGTTGGCATAAATACTAAGATGTGATGGAAAGCATTTAGTCTTCGCTATAAGGGTAAATACTGTATACAGTATACCAACGCCATACATTAATATTATTAGTCATATGTTTATATACTTACATACTGAGTTGCCTGTATCCTAGGACTATTTGAATAGCCAGATCGGCTCAAGTCACAAACATTACAATAGACTTCAAGCATTCACCACAAACCCAATAGAGATATTGGGGGGGGGGGGCAGAGATAAGGGAACCGATTCCAGTCTACAAAACATGTTGACAACCAAAACATTTATGTTCATTTGTGTGGCAAATTATAAAGATTGAGAGATTTAGAGAGAGGTACAGGGGGTGCTGAGCCATATAAAATGTTCCCATGAAGAGGTGATGTGCGATACCTGATAACTGCAGCAGGGTAACATACAAAGTGCATTCAGTCTGATTCATTCAACTGCTGAAGTGATGGGGGAGGAGGGGAGACGGGACTAAGATGGCCACAGTCACTTTAACACCTTTAATAATTCAACAGACAACATGAATCAGGTTATGTTAGAGCTGTTGATAATGAGCCTGTACTTATTTTAAAGCTTTTTAGGCTGTATTTTAGGTTGTGGTTTTTAAGGTTTCTATCATTTTTCTAATTTCTTTCTTTGAGGCATTTTATGATTTTTTAGGTCTGGCGGTTTATTTTTAGCATTTCTTTAGACTATCAGAATTTTGTGTTGTTTTGATGTGTATGGAAGAATTTTAAAATTCACATTTTAACCTTAAAATTAAAAATGGGGGGGGGGGGGGAAGAACAGTTTAAGAGGTTGGGTTTGTTTTAAAATACCATGGAGAGGGAAGGGGTTACTTTAGAGCTTATATCTGTGCCATCTCAATTCATGTGTGTGTACCCATATAGGGGTGGTAGTGGGATATCCTAGGGCTTTTCTTTATAACCAGGCATATACGGCGAGATGGTGTTTTATACCCATGTGCACTGAGGTACGATATTTTAGAGCATCTATATCTCATCAAGTGTGTGTATATCAAAGCTCGCGTTTAAACCTCTTTGCATGGAGGGCAGCATGGGGTCGGTCATACTTTAGATGTTGTATTTGTACCGCCTCTTGTATGAGGGAGTGATCCTTTCAGGCCTTGTTTGCACCTCCTTGTGTGTGCATGTATGGGGGTGTATTTTACAGGCCTGTCCTCATCATTCTATTTGGGAGCACAGAGAGGTATTTCAGCCCTAAACCCCAATCTCTCTCTGCAAAGGGTGCTTTAAAGCTTGATTTCTCACTCTCCCTTGAAAAGGGAGATGACATTTCAGGGCTCATCCCCACAGTTGGTCCCTTTTGAAGGGAGAGGAAATAGAATTTTTTTGAGGTCAGATCTCAGCCCTACTCTCTCTTTGGGAAGTGGGGAGAAGGGGTATTTCGGGGTTCACTCCCCATCTCTCTGGGGAAACTCATGATGGGGGTATTTTCAGGTTTGGGACGAGTCTCTTCGGGGATTATTTCATGGCTCGGCTCTTTGCAATAGATCAGAGAGGATGATTCAACCCCCCCGTCCCTCTCTCGGGCGGGGGGTATTTCGGGGTTCACACGCCCTCCTCTGGAGGAGAAGGCTCAGGAGATGGTGTTTCGGCCTCGGCCCCCTGGTCTCTCTCCGTCCCGGGTGCTTTACCTCTGTACACCGGGGAGCTGGGGCTCCGTCTCTCAGGTGAGCTGCTCCTCCTGCTGCCACCGCTCTCCGGCGAGCGCCGCTGCCTGCCCTTCACCCTCCCCGGGTCCGCCACGCCGCCTCCCGGGGGGGCAGCCACTGCCAGCGGCGGCGTCGGGCTGGGTGGGCTGCTGCCGCGGCCCGCTCCGCCGCCCGCCGGTCCGGTGTTGCTCCCCACCGAGGCGGAAGGGGAGCGGGTGGGGCTGTGCTGGCTGCCCCGCAGGAGCTGGTAGGGCACGGTCGCTCGGATGGGCTGCAGCAGCCGGCTGGTCCCGGCGCTGCTGGCGGCGCCTCCCCCCGCACCGTTGCCGGCGGCGCCGCTGGCCGCGGTGGGTGACCCGGCGGCGCCGCGCCTCATCCTCTGCGGCGGGTGGTGCCCGGGCGGGGTCTGCGAGGAGCTGGACGAGGAGGACATGGCGGGCAGGGGGGTCGCAAGTCCCGGCAGGGGCTCCGTGCGCTGCCCCCGGCCGGCTCCCCACATGCACTCGCCGCCGGGGGGCGGGGACGGGACAAGCGCTTCACGGCCCGACCGACTCTCCACGCCGCCCGGCTACCCCCGGCGCTTCCTATCGGCGACGGCGGCTGCTCCCGCGCCAGGCTCTGGCCATCACCGCCCGTCGGGAGCGCTACGGAGCCCCGCAGCCGTTCACATCGTATAGCGCTGCCCCTCGCGGCGAAGGGGGGAGGGGTCCGCAGCCAGCCCCGTGCGCCTACCCTCGCGAGCCGCAGCAACCGACACCCGCTCTCTTTGCCGCCCTGCCTACCCCCGAATGGCAACTCGTAGCCTCAGCCGCCCGGCAGCGACGGGCAAGGGCGGCAAGCAGCGCGCCCATTGGGTACTCTGCCTCCGTTAGCCCTAGTCTGATTGGCTACGGCACATGAAGGGCAGCACTGTCCACCAATCAGAGGTCTCTTTTTAATTGAGGGGGTAGGGAGAGCAGCTCTGGGCGGTGGGGAGGTGGCAGCTGTGGGCTGGGCGGCTTAAGTTGCCCGGTGGTGGGGTGGGCTGGGCTAGCGAGGAGGTGGCGGCTGTGTTACGAGGGGAGCAGGCTGCCTCAGGCCCGGGGCGCGCGCAGAGCTGGGGCTGGCCGTTACCCCTTCTGTGTGACTAGGCCACCCCATCGCGCCTCCGGGCAGGCCCGTCCGATGGCTCCGTGTCTTTGTTACCTCTGCGGCCACAGCGCGCAGGGAGAGCTGGTGAGGGCGCTGAACGGGCACATGCGAGCGCAGGGCTGCTTGAGGGCCGGTGCCGCAGCTACTCAGGGAGAGTAGCCCTGACTTTTGCCGGGGTGCCGGCCGGCCGGGCCGCCTGTGGGGCTGTATAGTACTCAGTGTACATGGCGTAGTATTTTGTCAAATGAGCAGGCTCCCCTCAGCATTACACGTGAAGCCGTTATGCGCCCCTGCCCGAGCCAGTGAGAAATGTGTGGCTCGTTCCTTTCCATTAAGATTGGTTTTATAGGCCCTCTTTTCTGTACCCGCTCAGGCCTCTCCTCTAGCTGCGCCCCAGTTTTCTCCTTTTAAATTTGAAAGAACTTGATCAGAAAGGTGGGTCTGGATTTTTTTTCTTCTCTTTTTGCCTGGGGCTACTTCTGCCTCCCCATTTATCCTACTTTACATCCCCCCCCCCCACTACAGCCCTGTGTTACAGCTGCCTTCTGGGACAGAACTCCATTGAGAGGCTGTGGTGGATTCTCCACCACTGGCAATTTTTAAATGAACACTGGCTGTTTTACTAAAATATATGCTGTACTGTAAACAGGAATTAATTCAGGGAAGTTCTCTGGCCTGTATTTTGAAGGAGATCAGAGCGGTGCTCCCTTCTGGCTTAATAATATATGAATCTATGATCCTAAAGTGTGTCCATACCACTCCTTAGCTACCTAAAAGGGATGCTACTGAGTCACATTAGTCTTAGCCAAATAATGGGTCATGGAGAGCCTTCACTGTAATCTAGGGGTGTAATTGTAGAGGCGGTCAAAAAAGCAAACAGGATGTTAGGAATCATTAAAAAGGGGATAGAGAATAAGACTGAGAATATATTATTGCCCTTATATAAATCGATGGTACGCCCTCATCTCGAATATTGCGTACAGATGTGGTCTCCTCATCTCAAAAAAGATATGCTGGCACTAGAAAAGGTTCAGAAAAGGGCAACTAAAATGATTAGGGGTTTGGAACGGGTCCCATATGAGGAGAGATTAAAGAGGCTAGGACTCTTCAGCTTGGAAAAGAGGAGACTAAGGAGGGATATGATAGAGGTATTTAAAATCATGAGTGATGTGGCAAAAGTGGATAAGGAAAAGTTATTTACTTATTCCCATAATACAAGAACTAGGGATCATCAAATGAAATTAATAGGCAGCAGGTTTAAAACAAATACAAGGAAGTTCTTCTTCATGCAGCGCACAGTCAACTTGTGGAACTCCTTACCTGAGGAGGTTGTGAAGGCTAGGACTATAACAGAGTTTAAAAGAGAACTGGATAAATTCATGGTAGTTAAGTCCATTAATGGCTATTAGCCAGGATGGGTAACGAATGGTGTCCCTAGACTGTTTGTCAGAAGGTGGAGACGAGTGGCAGGAGAGAGATCACTTGATCATTACCTGTTAGGTTCCCACCCTCTGGGGCACCTGGCATTGGCCACTGTCGGTAGACAGGATTCTGGACTAGATGGACCTTTGGTCTGACCCAGTACGGCCGTTCTTATGTTCTTAATTGCCCTGCTCCTATACAACTAGTCATGCTTGCTCTCATTCATCCAGCACAAGTATACATAGCAGCATCGCTGCAATAGTACCAGTTTCAGGTGGGTTTATCCTCAGCCCAGCTCAGCTGTGCCTCCACTGCTGCTATCAGTGCTATGCAGCTACACTGCTATTTATACTCACACTGGCTCGATGAGAGCTAGCAGGAGTATGGACATAGGCTTAGTGCTTATCTATACATACAGTGCATCAACAGCACAGCTGCACCAATTCAGCTGTATCACTGTATCATTGGTGAAGAGGGGAGGGATAGCTCAGTGGTTTGACCGTTGGCCTGTTAAACCCAGGGTTGTGAGTTCAGTCCTTGAGGGGGCCACTTAGGGATCTGGGGCAAAAATCAGTACTTGGTCCTGCTAGTGAAGGCAGGGGGCTGGACTCGATAACCCTTCAGGGTTCCTTCCAGCTCATTGAGATATAGGTATATCTCAGGGGTAGGCAACCTTTCAGAAGTGGTGTGCTGAGTCTTCATTTATTCACTTTAATTTAAGGTTTCACATGCCAGTAATACATGTGTCTCTCTAAGTCTATATTATATAACTAAACTATTGTTGTATATAAAGTAAACAAGGTTTTCAAAATGTTTAAGAAGCTTCATTTAAAATTAAATTAAAATGCTGATCTTACGCCACCAGCCTGCTCAGCCCCCTTCCAGCCTGGGGTTCTGTTCACCTAGGGCTGAGCAGGGCCTTTGGCCGGGACGCCGGCTGGCAAGGGGCCGGCAGCCAGGACCCCAGACCTGGGGGAGAGGTTCAGGGGTCAGGGCAGAGGGTGCAGGGTAGAAGGCTGGGTGTGTGGGGGGGTTCAGAGGTCAGGGCAGAGGGGATATGGGGGGTTCAGGGCAGAAGGCTGGTGGTGTGGGGGGATTCAGGGGTCAGGGCAGAAGGCTGGTGGGTGTGGGGGTGCAGGGCAGAAGGCTGGCAGGTGCCAGAAGCTGGGGGTGCAGGGATAAGGGCAGAGGGCTGGGGGTGTGGGGGGGTACAGGGCAGAAGGCTGGGTGTTGGGGGGACTCGAGGTCAGGGCAGAGGGCTGGGGTGTGTGTGGAGGTGCAGGGCAGAAGGCTGGGTGTTGGGGGGACTCGAGGTCAGGGCAGAGGGCTGGGGTGTGTGTGGAGGTGCAG